ATATCCTTGTCCAGTAAAAAGCCTGCCAGGCTATTGAAAGGCACAACTTCCTAAAATTAATGCAGATGGTTCAGCAGCAAACCTTAATAATTTCAATTGCCTCCAACCATTTCAGGTTGGTAAGGATAATACAGGCTCTGGTGAAGTCTGCCATAATATCCGGGTCTGTTGCATAAGTGGAGAGAGTAGTTGTACTCCTTCTACGTTGTAGGTTAGATTTATGCTCCTGTATCCTGATCCCCATTGAACGTTTAGTGAAGCCAAAGTACACCATTTCCTTATCCCATTTGTTGTCTCTGATATGGACATTATAAATGCCTGATAGTGTGTTGGGGTTAGAGAGGTCTTTTCCATTATGCAGTACGTTGAAAATGGAAGGGCATCTCCTGTAGGCAATATTGACCTGATGTTTCTTGGCAATTGTGGTGTGTATAATGATTTTAAATGGGGGTTAAAAGTGAGGGATATTCTCTTCTTATTCTCTTCCTGTTTATCCCTTGGTATTTCCATCAAACTGGTGGATGCTTCTTGCATACATCTGTAGTGTTCACATAATCTATGTATAAGGTTGTTATAATCATGCACCCTGACTATCCCTTCTCTACTTCTTAATTCTTGTGCTAGTACTTGTGGAGTGGAAGAATGGGAAGAACCACCTTCATTAATTTGAGGAGGATGTGCCTTTTGATGGTGTGGCAGGCTCTAGTGAACAAGGATATTTAATTTTCAATCATATTTAAAGTGGAATACATTCAAACTAATACTATTGTTCAATGTTATTTAAACATTTTAACAGGAACGCATGCATTTATGATATTTGAAATCTATTGCCGTTTGATTTATATTTGAATGTTAACTGTCAGCTTGTTTTGAATAAAAAAGAAGCCTGAAGAAGAGCCCAGAAGGGACTACAAAAACGTTTGCAAATGTTAATCATATTCACAACAGGTAATTGGTTAATGTGAGTCACACTTTTTATATTCATCCCAGTGTGTTGTGTAGTTAAATAATTTTTATTATGTTAATAGTACAAATATTTACAGAAGATAAACTTCAAAATAAGAATCTTCTATAGCTATGTACTTCTGCAACGATCGTACAATTAATTAAAAGTTTTGCAGCTCATTCTGTATTACTTCCTTTAGTGTATTCATTACAGCACTTTTAACCTATTCTGCTGATTTGAATTAGTAACCTTTCAATAAAGTTTCATTTTATGATGATGTGAAAATCTGTGAGAGAGAGATTTGATAAATAAGATATTGTAGCATTACAAGTATAGATATTTGTCAGATATTTATTAACTAGGGGAGTATGAAGAACCCGGTTTTTTGGTTGCCAAAGATGAGGCTGTTTTTGTCTTACTGCATCATGGAGATAACTGAAAATGCAGCTAATTTAGCAAGCATAGTAGTAATCATATTAAAGAAAATATTTGTTTTTGAAATAATCTAATACAAACCTTCTAATGAAAACTTTTTTTTCACTGTGAATGAATGACATTGAATGCTCTTGCAGTGATTTAATTTATTCTGATTATTATCAAAAGAAATAAACTTCTTAAAATATATATTATTTTTTAGACAACCTAAATTAACTCTGTAACTTTTACATTTTAGGAAGCAGAGTTTAAGCTGGTAAAAAATTTTCTATAGCGTTTTACTAATTTTACTAAAAAAGTCATAGCAAAATTTTAGAAACTAGCTAGCATTTCTCATCCATGAGGCTGCCCAGAGCAATACACAATACATTTTTGTTTAAACATTTGTTTATTTGCATAGATACTACATATTATTGCAGTGTACTGCACTATCAGTATAATCATAAATCTATACAACCCACATGTATCATACATTATTGAACAATTCTTTTTGGTTTTCATTCACACCATGCAAAAAATGCTGAATGAAAATCAAATTCCCATCTTGGGGGCCATTTATGAAGATGTTTAACAAGTTACTGACATTTTTACATTAAGCCAATTTCCAATTGGTGTTTTTTTTAATATCATCTCACTGAAACCTTGCACACTCAACAGTTTGCACTAAAAGTCAAATAACAAATTCAATAACTGTTGATATATGAAGGTAATCTGACAAAAGGTTATTTACAACTATTTATAAATTTTAGCCGATGACATATCCTTACAACTGAAAGTAAACAAATCCCACTTTCATCAGAAATTGTGTTTTTAAAATTACAATAGTAACATTAAGTGTTTGTTTATTGGAAACTTTCATGTCTACAAAGCAGAATATGTAACACTTCATACATGAAGTGATGTCTGTCAAGGTAGACTTTTCTTTCGTGTAGTTGGAGAGATGAGAGATTACACTTGGCCAATACTAACTGTCCTGTTTTAGGAGAGATAGAGTGATGTTTGGGTGGTTACTTGGCTGGTAACTTTAAATTGAGATCAGAAGTCGCAAAAACATTTAAGTTTCAGCAAAACAGTTTAAAATATAAACAAAATTATATTTTAATTGAAGAAATATTAGATAAAATTATTTTTAATATTTAATGATATAACACTTGAACAACACCTTAAATACTTTTATGGCAACATTTTTAATTTGTTTAAATGAATGTTTTCAACCCTTTTCACAAAAGTGCATTCATTAATAGACAGTTCATATCAGTCAAGTAAATATTGAATATTTAGTTATACTTTGGACAATAGTATATGTTTATTAATAATAATTTATTACTAAAGATATTTTTCATTCTTTTTAATTAAAAAATTTAGTTATTTTTGTCAATAGTGAATTTTTATACATTTTATTAGTCAATCTGTGGAATGTTACTGTCATAATTAAGTAAGTTGGATTGCATTGCATAGTTAATACTTTAGAAATGTTTGGAAAAAAATGAGAGTTTGAGCTTAAATTTACAAACCAATGCTTATCAGAGTGATTAATAATGTTTGCTTTGTTTGCAAGTATATTATCAATTATGTTGATAAGACTCAGACTAGGTAATAAGAATTGCATTTTGCAACTTTCTTTTAAATTAATATTTTTTCTAAATTATACTGGCATTTTCAAATTAGTCACAATTAGAGGTAATTGAGTTTTAATTGTATAATATATGATATAGTCATATTTTCTACAGTTGTACTCAATATTTTTGTATTAATCAGTTAGAAAGAAAATGATACTTAAATATAGAAATATAGTAGAGCATTGATTATCCGACTCAATTGGGGACTCGGGTTGGTCGGATAACTGAAAAAATTGGATAACCGAAAAGAATGAAAAAAATACATTATTACTATAGTATATTAGTATATCCCATGTAATTAGTATATTAGTATATTGCTATTAACCAACTTTGCGTTGAATTTTCATCGATGTTAAGCCTAACAAATTTTTTAAAAATAATAATTGTTGCTATTGTATCGTTAAAAATTATTTTTAAATTATTTTATTGCTCACGAAACAAACAATCACTCATAATTAGAAAATTAAGTCTCGTTTAAATACTGGCCTCCGTTTAATGGTCGAGTCGATGTTGCCAACTAAAACATGCAAAAATTTAACAAAAATAATATTAAAGTAGCNGGGGACACGTGGTCTTTGCACGAACCCTTACAGCATATAAAATAATTGCAAAAGTAGCATCAATGGATGTAGCATAGATGTTATAATTTTTCCTACATTACTTAATTATGGAGCATTAAATAAAACTTACCTTTTCTGCTGACAGCTTTTACCATTTTAATTTAAACGTAAATTCTCTTCCGCGGGATATTCGTGAACACTTGTTCCATCTTTTTTCGATTTGTTTGATGTACAAAATGGCACAGAACAATGAACCATTTTAAATCAAACCTTTTAAAAATTCACCAGTATCTTGATATAAAATATTTTCGAAATTTTAATTCTTTTAAATCTATCATAAGCACGTCTTTGCAACAGAATTACCGTTGATCACTTGATCGATAGTCCGGTCATCAGCGCTCCTAGTGAGGATTATATGCAAACCGCCTCAGGAATCGACACACATTCAAAACAAATGGCTAGGCTGTTCTTACTGTAGGCTGTGCTCGGGAAAAGGGGGAAAGACAAATTTTTATGACAAACGGATACATAAATCGTAAATTTAAGGAAAATAAATTTTAGAGCTTTTTCTGTACCTCGCGCATCTTTCTCATTCATTAAATTTAGTTGTAAATGATGCTGTCGAAGTAACAGTTAATTTTTTAACATCATGCAAGAAATGCACACGTTTTTTCTACATCCCCTTACAGATGGGATATACGAAATCACAATATCACTGGTTTAACATAGAAATCCGTGAGTAATATAAAATTGGAGAGCGGAATAAATATATAAAATATTTTAATGGATTTTTTAAACTCCTGTCAACTATACAGACCTATCACAAAAACATGCTAGTAAATTCTTATCGGTTAGGTTAAGTTATAAATCTACTCGTGATTCGCATAATCGGCGAGGGCGGCCAAATATCTAGCGGGCAGGCGGCAAGCAGAACCGGTGCTGGATAGAGTTGGATGCGGTATACGTGTAGCATCCACCCGAGGTCCTAGGCTTCCACCAGCTAAACCGGATGAGGTTGATGCTCTGTAAAACGCATGCGCAAATCTGGCTTTTTTTGGATGCTGACGATACAGCGCTACTCCACTCCGCCACTAATAATCGAATATACGATAGCAACCTTATTTTTTTTCACGTGTAGTATAGAAATTTGTAATAAGATACATCTTGCGGTTATAATAAAATATTGTGCGATTATTTTCAAATAATTAAAATTAATATGCATTTATTTTTTAGAAAATACAGGGGAAGCGGCGCATCCACCGCTTCCAATGACGGCACACCACATATTTCCATATTTATGATGTTTCCCATTAAATGTTTATAAATAATTAAATACGTTTAAGCTATGCAATTGAAAACAATAAATCTAATAATTTTTAGACACATAAAAAACATTTTATATAAAGAATATTTATAATAATAACCCGGTAACCTTGCAAAAGGAAAAAAAAAATAATAATAATCTTTATAATTTAGTAACGAGATGGCATTGCGTATACATCGGGGACCACAAAATGGCGGAGAATGTACTGTCCCAAGCCCAAACTGAGAAGTTATTACAATTCCAGGTATATAATAATCTGTTTCTAAGTCGTTATTTGTCATTTTTCAAAACGATAATCTCTGTTTGAAATAGGAATGTTTACTATTATTAAATGTTAATGTATTTGTAAGTTACGCATGTGTATAAAATTTGTTGAGTAATACATTCGAATTTCACTAAACTGTGAATTGTTTACGTTCGAATCGCTGTCATTAAATCTATTAAACTGTATTACATTATCGAATAATAATTATATATAAAATATTTTTCGTTAAAAGAAAGGCATGGTTATGATTGAAATAATTTGAAGTTTATTTAATTTTAATATTTTTATTATCCATTTAAACATGTCACAGACTACAGACAATTCAACTTTAAATGAACATTTTCTTGTGTATAGTAAGTCTATGTTTATTAAACTCATTTTCTTTTACCTTAAAAGACATATTTAAACTTTTCCTATATTAAAATTAGACCAAGTATATGAAGAAAGTCTTTAAAACTTTGTTGTAATGGTCTATTTTCAATAAATAAATAATATGAATAAAAAGAATAAAGTCATGAACAACAAATCTTTGTATTTGAGATATGGATAGCTACAATTTGGCAAAGATAGCAAAGTGAAGGCATGCAATGCTTTTTTTTTTCTTTCCTTTAACATGTGAGTCAGTATTTTGCATAAACATTTAAAAATTAAACAAGTAAAGGTATAGTTAGTAAATTAGTACTGTCTGTTTATTAATTCATTCGGTATGATTGACACCTTGCATCTTTGAGACTGGAAGCTTATCTCATAATTGAATCTACTGTTAGCTTATATTTGCTGTAATTATTTATTTTTAAATTTAATTTTTTCATTCTTGGTACCACAGAATATAAAGAAATAAAGAAAAATTGTTAGTTTGAAAATATGAAACAAAAATACATATTTTTAGCTTTTTATTTTAACAAAAGTTATTGAAATATTCTATTTTAATTATGTTAATTATATTGCTTTATAAAAAGATTAAAAATTTAATTTGGCTCTGAATTATTAGCAAACTAAATTAGAAAATTTGGAATTCTTCTCTTTTGCTATAAAACAGCATTTTTAAAAAGAGGCTATGATAATTTTAAATTATAAATTTTTGTCTATAAACAAGCATTCACTATTATCAGGACTTATTATACTGGCTTAACAGACAATACAGAGTTTCAAAGAAAACAATTTTTTATTTAATATTTAATATACCTGAAATGAATACAGGTATATTAAATATTAAATAAAAAATTGTTTTCTGTGAAAATCTGTGTTGTCTGTTAAGCCAGTATAATAAGTCCTGATAATAGTGAATGCTTGTTTATAGACAAAAATTTATAATTTAGTAAGAAAAGGACATTGAGGCATCTTAATTAAACTATAATAATTATATTTTTATTTCTAATCTTAATTTCCAGATTTTGTATTTATTCAGAATGAAGTAAAGAAACTTGTAGATTATCATTTTAAAAAAAAGCAATGATTAATTTATGATTTAAAATTGTAATAATTTTAAATATTACTGAAAAGTTTTATCATAAATTTTGCTATATTAATGATTTCATATTGTATCACTAATTTCAATAGTGGATGCGAGGGTTATTTATAATATAGACATTAAAGCAAGTGTTTGTTTATAACAGTAAAGTTTCAATAGATAAATTAAACAACAGATGTATTAAAAGTTATGATTGTAAAAATTCCAGATTTTCTAAAATATATGATTGACTTTATAAAATATAAAAACCGATAAATTAGAATTGAGTTAAAACGTGCCTGGCTATAGCAAATCTCTCTACCATCTTGCTATTGACATATAACAATTTAATAATTCAAATTCTGGCTTTTATAAAAGCCAAACTTTTAATAGACTAAGGATATAATCTCATCTTTGAAATGTCTTTATGTAATAAACTAACAGTTTAAAATATCACATTAATGAAGTATATAGAGATTTCAAGTTAAAATTTTAAAATCAATAATTTTAAAATTTTATGCTAGGTTATTGTTTATTGATAAATTGGTATATAATTATATTAATGACTAGCTGTTACCCGCAACTTTGCCTGCATGGAATTTGCAAGCAAACACCATTTATATTCAATATTTCAACAACCATAGTAATTGTTATATAATGCCTACCACTGAGAATCAAACAAACTGTTTTCAATTTGATCAATTTTCTGGAACATTTACAATTGTTCTGTAATCGAACCAATATGNCAAACTTTTAATAGACTAAGGATATAATCTCATCTTTGAAATGTCTTTATGTAATAAACTAACAGTTTAAAATATCACATTAATGAAGTATATAGAGATTTCAAGTTAAAATTTTAAAATCAATAATTTTAAAATTTTATGCTAGGTTATTGTTTATTGATAAATTGGTATATAATTATATTAATGACTAGCTGTTACCCGCAACTTTGCCTGCATGGAATTTGCAAGCAAACACCATTTATATTCAATATTTCAACAACCATAGTAATTGTTATATAATGCCTACCACTGAGAATCAAACAAACTGTTTTCAATTTGATCAATTTTCTGGAACATTTACAATTGTTCTGTAATCGAACCAATATGCAATAACAAATTTGAATTTAAAACGGTTTGAACATTTGGTTAAAAAATTGAAATATATAAAAATATTTATAACAATGTCTGAAATGTTATCAATTTAATGCACATAAGTACTCAATGAAGACTAAATGCACTTAAAAACAAAAAATTGCATCTAAAATAGTACAGTAGAAGCCGTTCTTCTGGTTAAACCTTAAATGCTCTCCCTCTCCTCCCCACGGGGGAATTTCGAAAAATCCCTTCTTAGTGTACGTTTCCGTGACATACTCTGTGTACCAAATTTTGCCTTTTTAGGTTTAGTGGTTTGCTTTGGGCGATGATGAATCAATCAGTCATCCAATCAGTGAATCAGTCATGACAAGTAATTTTATATATTTAGATACACAAAGATAAAAAGCATGTATTAATCAAGAAAATAACAAAGAATTTGAACACGTCTAATTATACAATTTTTTTAAAAAATTATTCTTTGTATGATGAAAGATTTTTATAGAAACTTAGAAAAGTAAATATATATATATATATCATTTTCAATATTAAGTATAAAAACCTCTGGCAGAAGATGAGAGAGAGGAGCATATTGCAGACAAAATTGCAAAGCTTTCAAAAGTCATTGCAGGGATGTTATATTATCCCATGTGATGATATGGGGATGAAATATTATTGTCTTATGTTTGGAAAAGATGTTTTCAGAAGATTTCAAACGTCTTATGTTTTGTTTGAAGATATATAGTTTTATTTTTAAATATCAGTAATATGTGGTAGTCAAAAATAAACTGAACGTTTAATATAATTTTTATTATAAAAAGTGCAATTCACATTAACCAATTAACTAGTGTGAATATGATTAACATTTGCAAATGTTTTCATAACCCCTTCTAGGTTCTTTGGGCTTATTTTTTATTCAAAACAAGCTGCAGTTAACATTCGAATATAAATCAAATGGTAATAGATTTTGGATACCATACACGCATGCATTCCTGTTAAGATATTTAAATAAGATTGAAGAATAGGATTAGTTCGAATGCACATGCATTTCACTTTAAATATGATTGAAAATTAAATATCCTTGTCCAGTAAAAAGCCTGCCAGGCTATTGAAAGGCACAACTTCCTAAAATTAATGCAGATGGTTCAGCAGCAAACCTTAATAATTTCAATTGCCTCCAACCATTTCAGGTTGGTAAGGATAATACAGGCTCTGGTGAAGTCTGCCATAATATCCGGGTCTGTTGCATAAGTGGAGAGAGTAGTTGTACTCCTTCTACGTTGTAGGTTAGATTTATGCTCCTGTATCCTGATCCCCATTGAACGTTTAGTGAAGCCAAAGTACACCATTTCCTTATCCCATTTGTTGTCTCTGATATGGACATTATAAATGCCTGATAGTGTGTTGGGGTTAGAGAGGTCTTTTCCATTATGCAGTACGTTGAAAATGGAAGGGCATCTCCTGTAGGCAATATTGACCTGATGTTTCTTGGCAATTGTGGTGTGTATAATGATTTTAAATGGGGGTTAAAAGTGAGGGATATTCTCTTCTTATTCTCTTCCTGTTTATCCCTTGGTATTTCCATCAAACTGGTGGATGCTTCTTGCATACATCTGTAGTGTTCACATAATCTATGTATAAGGTTGTTATAATCATGCACCCTGACTATCCCTTCTCTACTTCTTAATTCTTGTGCTAGTACTTGTGGAGTGGAAGAATGGGAAGAACCACCTTCATTAATTTGAGGAGGATGTGCCTTTTGATGGTGTGGCAGGCTCTAGTGAACAAGGATATTTAATTTTCAATCATATTTAAAGTGGAATACATTCAAACTAATACTATTGTTCAATGTTATTTAAACATTTTAACAGGAACGCATGCATTTATGATATTTGAAATCTATTGCCGTTTGATTTATATTTGAATGTTAACTGTCAGCTTGTTTTGAATAAAAAAGAAGCCTGAAGAAGAGCCCAGAAGGGACTACAAAAACGTTTGCAAATGTTAATCATATTCACAACAGGTAATTGGTTAATGTGAGTCACACTTTTTATATTCATCCCAGTGTGTTGTGTAGTTAAATAATTTTTATTATGTTAATAGTACAAATATTTACAGAAGATAAACTTCAAAATAAGAATCTTCTATAGCTATGTACTTCTGCAACGATCGTACAATTAATTAAAAGTTTTGCAGCTCATTCTGTATTACTTCCTTTAGTGTATTCATTACAGCACTTTTAACCTATTCTGCTGATTTGAATTAGTAACCTTTCAATAAAGTTTCATTTTATGATGATGTGAAAATCTGTGAGAGAGAGATTTGATAAATAAGATATTGTAGCATTACAAGTATAGATATTTGTCAGATATTTATTAACTAGGGGAGTATGAAGAACCCGGTTTTTTGGTTGCCAAAGATGAGGCTGTTTTTGTCTTACTGCATCATGGAGATAACTGAAAATGCAGCTAATTTAGCAAGCATAGTAGTAATCATATTAAAGAAAATATTTGTTTTTGAAATAATCTAATACAAACCTTCTAATGAAAACTTTTTTTTCACTGTGAATGAATGACATTGAATGCTCTTGCAGTGATTTAATTTATTCTGATTATTATCAAAAGAAATAAACTTCTTAAAATATATATTATTTTTTAGACAACCTAAATTAACTCTGTAACTTTTACATTTTAGGAAGCAGAGTTTAAGCTGGTAAAAAATTTTCTATAGCGTTTTACTAATTTTACTAAAAAAGTCATAGCAAAATTTTAGAAACTAGCTAGCATTTCTCATCCATGAGGCTGCCCAGAGCAATACACAATACATTTTTGTTTAAACATTTGTTTATTTGCATAGATACTACATATTATTGCAGTGTACTGCACTATCAGTATAATCATAAATCTATACAACCCACATGTATCATACATTATTGAACAATTCTTTTTGGTTTTCATTCACACCATGCAAAAAATGCTGAATGAAAATCAAATTCCCATCTTGGGGGCCATTTATGAAGATGTTTAACAAGTTACTGACATTTTTACATTAAGCCAATTTCCAATTGGTGTTTTTTTTAATATCATCTCACTGAAACCTTGCACACTCAACAGTTTGCACTAAAAGTCAAATAACAAATTCAATAACTGTTGATATATGAAGGTAATCTGACAAAAGGTTATTTACAACTATTTATAAATTTTAGCCGATGACATATCCTTACAACTGAAAGTAAACAAATCCCACTTTCATCAGAAATTGTGTTTTTAAAATTACAATAGTAACATTAAGTGTTTGTTTATTGGAAACTTTCATGTCTACAAAGCAGAATATGTAACACTTCATACATGAAGTGATGTCTGTCAAGGTAGACTTTTCTTTCGTGTAGTTGGAGAGATGAGAGATTACACTTGGCCAATACTAACTGTCCTGTTTTAGGAGAGATAGAGTGATGTTTGGGTGGTTACTTGGCTGGTAACTTTAAATTGAGATCAGAAGTCGCAAAAACATTTAAGTTTCAGCAAAACAGTTTAAAATATAAACAAAATTATATTTTAATTGAAGAAATATTAGATAAAATTATTTTTAATATTTAATGATATAACACTTGAACAACACCTTAAATACTTTTATGGCAACATTTTTAATTTGTTTAAATGAATGTTTTCAACCCTTTTCACAAAAGTGCATTCATTAATAGACAGTTCATATCAGTCAAGTAAATATTGAATATTTAGTTATACTTTGGACAATAGTATATGTTTATTAATAATAATTTATTACTAAAGAAATTTTTCATTCTTTTTAATTAAAAAATTTAGTTATTTTTGTCAATAGTGAATTTTTATACATTTTATTAGTCAATCTGTGGAATGTTACTGTCATAATTAAGTAAGTTGGATTGCATTGCATAGTTAATACTTTAGAAATGTTTGGAAAAAAATGAGAGTTTGAGCTTAAATTTACAAACCAATGCTTATCAGAGTGATTAATAATGTTTGCTTTGTTTGCAAGTATATTATCAATTATGTTGATAAGACTCAGACTAGGTAATAAGAATTGCATTTTGCAACTTTCTTTTAAATTAATATTTTTTCTAAATTATACTGGCATTTTCAAATTAGTCACAATTAGAGGTAATTGAGTTTTAATTGTATAATATATGATATAGTCATATTTTCTACAGTTGTACTCAATATTTTTGTATTAATCAGTTAGAAAGAAAATGATACTTAAATATAGAAATACAGTAGAGCATTGATTATCCGACTCAATTGGGGACTCGGGTTGGTCGGATAACTGAAAAAATTGGATAACCGAAAAGAATGAAAAAAATACATTATTACTATAGTATATTAGTATATCCCATGTAATTAGTATATTAGTATATTGCTATTAACCAACTTTGCGTTGAATTTTCATCGATGTTAAGCCTAACAAATTTTTTAAAAATAATAATTGTTGCTATTGTATCGTTAAAAATTATTTTTAAATTATTTTATTGCTCACGAAACAAACAATCACTCATAATTAGAAAATTAAGTCTCGTTTAAATACTGGCCTCCGTTTAATGGTCGAGTCGATGTTGCCAACTAAAACATGCAAAAATTTAACAAAAATAATATTAAAGTAGCCAAGACATAGCCAAATATTGTAGTGCCACATCACTAGCGGACATTTGAAATTTGCCGACTAGAACGGTCGGTTAACCGAAGTGACGGTTAATCGGGGGTCGGATAATCGATGCTCTACTGTATTA